AAAAGCAGCCGATAAATTTTTCGTTTTTTTTTTTATTTGGCCCGGGATTTGGCCATATAGATCCCGCGGCCAAATCCCGTACGGTTCCTATTTGACATCCCGTACGGTTTCCAGACGGCACCCGCATCATAATGCATCAACTATACGGACTCAGATGCTGTTAATGAACAATCAACGATCATTTGTGGGTAAGGTATTGACAATATGCAAGAAAGTTGGTATAAACATGCTCCAATGTATGATGAGGATATAAAAAATTATAATTGCACGCCCTCAGGAAATATTGAAGGCCAATGTTGTGGCGATTTTAAAACCATCGCTCCAACGTCGGAATGTAAAGGAACAAAGATTAATCTTTAGAAATCTAACATTCTAAGAACAATGCAAGAAAATACTTAATTTTTTGTTTTCATTTTTTTTTTATAAATTTTACCTATTATTTATCTAATTATTGGGTGTTTAAAAGAATTATTATTATTATACTAACTATGAACCTAGCTCTATGATATGGGTTGTAATGTTACAGAATCAATAATTGCAAGGGGTATTACAAATTATTTATTAAACAATAGAGCTCATTTCTTTGCATTGATGTGTTTTTTAAATGCTTAGATTCATATGTTGACAACCTTAAATGAGTAGACCACCGCTGTAATTAATAAAAAGATAGTTGATGTCGTTCTTATTGAATCTAGAAAGTCTTCAATACTGTGTCTTGTTCTTACACTTTGATACTTCGATGTTGTGTCTTATTCTAAGCTGCTATTCAAAATTTACTGTTACAGAATTAAATATGAATATATAAAGCCTGGGTAACAAGCTTCTTAGCAAATCGTTCTTCATGAATTTGCATTAAGGGCTGGTACTCAAAAAACATCCTCGTAAAAAATAAAATACCTCATTGTACTGACATAGAATAAACTTCGATTTCAGCATATCTAGTCATCAGATCAATTTTAGAGTAACTTCTTGAATTATTTTTGTTTTTTTGTCAGCTCAATGTATCTACCAAAATATGTTTTCTCCTACTCAATGAATATAGTTGCATACCTGTACAATAATATTCACTGAACATTGGTATTGTTGTTGAATTTTTCAATTCAATCCAAGATATTCGTAACTCAATCCGGGATATTTTGTCTTCCAATATGAAATTTTTTTTTCACTTTTTTTTTATTGCAAGTTTTTGCGTTTTTAGAGTTTCACAATAACAATATTTAGTTTTTAGTAAGAGCCCACAATGTTTTGTGTACTAATTTAGAATCGTGTACCCAAGTGCAGAATCTTTTAAAAAATATACGTCGAATAAAATAAGTTCAGAAATGTTAAACATAAATTTGTTAAAAATGATGTTGCATTCCTTATAAAGATTATGCTTTAAGACTTGTTAACTTCAAACTTCACTTTCTAGAATGCTGTAGACTAAAGTTTGACCTTTTAAATAACCGACATAATTAAACGCAATCTTGTCGGCTTTTTCTGAGTTTTTTACATTCGATCTTACCATGTATGTATAAGAGATGAACGTGCAACCTTTTTTTTTTACATCAAAGAAACCGCCAAAATCAGCGAGCCATGCTTTTTCACGATCTTATCAAAATATTCCGTCATTAGCAAAAAAGTATTAAAGATGGCTGCCAATCAAATATTTTAAGTAAGGATTTAATAGACGATTCTGTAAAATGATTTTTGTAAAAGTTGAATCATTTATGTGCTTGCAAATTAGTGTTCAAATCAAACATAAATAAATGATGTTTATTACAAACACAAAGATATAATAACAGATTTTTTATAATACCTAGAAAGAGCTTTTTAAAAAAGATTTATGGATTGGATATTTTAGTCAAGTTTTATATTTTATATTTCAGTTAGTATTCTCACCATTCAGGGTCTAAATTCTTTGCTTATTTTGTTTCAACTTTAATATATTTTTTTGTTTTCTCCGACATGTCGCTTTTTTTTTGCCTTCTTTTATTACACGTTATGTTAATAATAAAAAAAAACTCTGGTTTGAAATTAATTTAATCATTCTAACGTGATACAAACTGTTTCAATTTAATTATATTAATACTAATTTTATTATTAACTTTTATAACAATCAGTTTGCTTTCAAAACTAGGCTACAATTAACCAAATTACCTTGTGTATTTAGATAAAATTAACAATAAAAAGATTGTTTTAACAAGATCATTATTAAAAGGTGTAACATCGTAATAGCATACTTTCTGTTTGCTTTAAAAATTAGTTTTTTATTATAAAATCACAAAGAACTACATTTTACATATTTTTAATACACAACTTTTACATAAAATTGTGAATTAATGTTATAGGAACTAAAGTACTGACCTGACTATTCATGAATTTTTAACAACAATATTATGAAAAACCATAATTTAGACTGATTAAACAAGTTCAATAAATCGTTAAAAAATCGACGTAACTGTTTTCTTTTGTTTGAAACAATAGACTTGTACAGAAGCCTAATTATTGAGCAAAGTTCGCAAAAACAACAATAAGTTGCACTTCCATCTCTTATACGTCCATGATCTTACTAACTATTTAATATAATCAACCAATCAATTTATTTACATGAAAGTTAACCAATGAATTTATATGTTTTGTTTTATTTGATCATTCCCAAAAATTTGTTACACATAATGTAGAAACATATATTTTTCTTCTGCAAAAGAATTAATAAAATGTGAAATTCTCCTACAATCATATGGTTTCTTCATTGTCTTTAAATCAAATTTCAAAACGTACAATATTCTGAAAAACTATATACTCTATATCAGAATTGTTAACAAGGCCAAAACTAGCAAAGCCAAGGCCACATGATACAAGACCAAGGCCAAAAGTTACAAGGCCAAGAGTTTTAAGGTCGAGGCCAAGAATAAGAGTTTCAAAACCTATGCAACCATTTTTAAGACAAAAGACTTTAATTTTTGCCTAACGTTAAGACCAATTATTAACAAAACTGTAAGTAACAATTGCTGTGACAATAAATCACATATTGTAAAAATAAACTATGGTTCAGGGCCTAAAGAGATCTCTCATGGGGGTGGGGGTTGGGATGTCATGTGTGTTTTGCTAACTAGAGACACACATACACACAGAAAAGTCTTCATTATTTGACATTTGCCAACTCAAATGCTAAATGTACAAGTGTGCCGACTAAAATGCATATATAACAGCTTTGAGGGGGGAGGGGGAGATACCCCCTACACCCACTACATTCCTCGTTCGGGACGGTTCTGCCAAGGTTATGCGCAAAACTTTACGAAGTCAATTAGAAAATATACTTGTAGATAAAAATGAAAGCTAAAAACAAAAATACATAAAAGTAAAAAACAAAAATTTTTAATTCTTTAATTTTATGAATTTTTTTTTAAGGCCAAGGCCAAAACAGTCATGGCCAAGGCCAAAGTTTTCAAGGCCAAGACCATCATTTTCAAAGCCAAGACCAAGGTCAAGGCCTTAATTTATGGCCTTAAGGCAAGGGTAAGACTAAGACCAAATCCAAAGACTAACAACTCTTCTTAATATATGTTTTTATTATTAGCTATTTAGATGCTCCAAAAAGTCCTAATTTTCTATTCACAGCGAACCGTGAAATAACATTTAAACAGGAATTTTACGCTTCCTTTCATACCAATAATGCATATACGGCTTGGAAACAATAAAGAAACAAATGAAACATAATAATTTTTCTATGTATATATATATATATATATATATATATATATATATATATATATATATATATATATATATATATATATATATATATATATATATATATATATATATTTTTCCTTCTAATCGCAGACCTCCAGTTCAGAAGCCAGAACTCAATACACGGCTGCATATCAACTTTTCTCCTTGAAAATACACACACACATACATATATATATATATATATATATATATATATATATATATATATATATATACATTTTTTTTTCCACTTCGAACACACACACACATACACACACACACATACACACACACACACACACACACACACACACACACACACACACGCACACACCCATAAATATATACAAGGCCGACGAGATAGAGGGTGTGGGGGGTGTGACACCCCCCATCAATGATTTTTAGTTGGCAAATTTGACCCTTAGTCGGCAAATTTGACTCTTTTTGACTAGTTAGTCGGCAAATGTAGACCCTGTCAATAGATTAGTCGGTAAATTTAGACAGTCAGTCGGCAAATGTCGTCATTGCAGTCGTCAAATTTTCCAAAACAAGGACCTTTTTTTTTTTTGTAAGTCGGCAAAAGTTGTAATGGCACCCCCTACCCACGTGACACCTACTCGCACCGGCCCTATATATATATATATATATATATATATATATATATATATATATATATATATATATATATATATATATATATATATATATATATATATATATATATATATATACTGAATAAAAAATTCTATACAAAAAAATAAAAAAATCGTTTTTTTTTTGAGAGTATATGGTCTTGTAAAGGTTATTCAAAATATAAATATTACGTCATAAATATAACACATGTTACATAATGCATACAACACAAGTTACATATTTTAGTTTTTGAGGTGACTTTTTCTAAAGATTAGTTGAAACCACATATAGTTTCATTTTCTTATGCAAAATAAGTTGTTGGAATAAGCTGTAAAAAATTTTAAACCATGATATTTACACTGGTAATAGAAATTTTGAATGAATATTTTATAAACTGCTAATAATAAATAAATAAATATATGTATAAATTTTGCTGTACGTGTGATATTTTAAATTATTGCTAAGCAAATCATGTTAAAACAAAAAAAAAAGTTTGAACTGAAACAAAGTCAAATTTAAAGTGTAATAAATCAATCGTTATTTATTTTTTTCATTAAACAAAGTTTACTTATGATTAGAGGTTTTTAAATATTGATGATTTTGCTCATAAATTTTTATATAAACATTTTCTGTACCATTTTATGAGCTTATTTAGTTTATTTTGAATGGAAAAAATAATTTTAGTAAGAATTATTTTAGCATTGAATCAAATTACCAACTCGGTACATAGTTGGAATGACAGTGCAAAGACAAATGACATGTGTAGGGAAAAAACAAATAAGATATACTTAATTTTTTTTGTAATATTGATAGTATTGGTTTCAATGACAATAATCGGGAATATTTTTGTTATCATTATAATTAGTTTTACGTCAAAGCTTCGCCAAAATACAACTTATGTTACTTTACTTTCGCTAGCTGTTGTCGATTTTTTAGTGGGATGTATAACCATGCCATATAATATAAAAAGGATGTACAACAATAGACTGTTTTGTTTATCAAAAGCTGCATGTAAAATAATCCTAATTATGGAGCCTTTTCTCTCAATCGCTTCAATGAATCATTTGTTTTCGATTGCAGTTGAGCGATTTTTGTCGCTAAAGATTCCATTTCAGTTCAAACTATCAGTGTCTTCTGCTTTATTTTATACGTGGCTTTTATCACTATGGGTTTATGCGTTTCTTTGGTCTTTTCTTGGAATGTTTAGATGGAATAAAACAGAAACTTTTCCTATCGAAATCAGAGGAAATGTTACCACGTATCTTAGCGCAATTTACAACTCAAAATATCACATTTGCACTCGTGATAACAAACCTTTTTTTACAACTGTTTATATTGTTTGTTTTTGTCTACCAATGATTTTGATGGGATATATCTATTATTTTGTCTATAAAACCACATCGCGTCATATCCGTCAAATGTCAAAACTCGAATTAGGACAGTTAAAGTTAAGGATCAATCGAAGCAAGTTACGCCAACAAAAACTGTTTACGTCAGTATTTATAGTGTTTCTGGTTTACGTAACGTGTTGGTTGCCTACATTTGTCATTGTGATTTTAAGTTTCTATTATCAGAGATTGTTATATAATTTTGAAAATAAGGAGCCGCTGTTTTATGAGATTTTAGTCAATACAACAGATGTTATACTACCACCCTTAAACTCAGCAGTTAATCCTTTTATTTACGTCATAAGTAATCGAAAATTTAAAAACTCAGCACTTTCTTTTCTAAATAAAAAATTCTTCAATCGCAATAAAGTAAAAAGTTCTACGGCGCCGACGACCATTTCAAAGTATCCTTTATAAAATCGGAAAAATGCTACTATAATTCTAATATAAATAATAATATAATAATATAATTGAATTAAACAACATTTTTATATCATGATAAGCATGATACAAACTTGTATCATCAGTATTCAAAATAACGTCTAGTAAATTACAAGATTTGTTTAAATCAATAATATAAATTAAAAATAGGAGTGGTCTTAAAATTTACCCTTGGAGAACCTCGCAGTTCATATTCATAAGTATCAGTTTCTTTGCTGCAAAAAGAAATGCATTGTTTCCTATTTGACAAATAGCTTTAAAACCACTAAATGTCCGAATGTTTAATCCCGTAATTTTCTAGTTTATTTAAGAGAATATAATGATTAACGGTGTCAAATGCTTTGTAAAAACCAATAAATACACCTAACGTATATTTTTTTTTTGTCGAATGCTTGAAAAATATTTTAAATAAGATGAAAAATTGTTTTTGATCAGTGTAATGATTCTTTTTAAATCCGAATTATTTATTATAAAGAATATTGTTATTTTCAAGAAAGGTAAATAGTCTATGATAGGGGAGACCGGGGCTAGTTGACTCTGTTTTTACTCTATGAGCTCTGTAGTCCAAACGGAACATTTTTTTGAAAATATAAAAGTGTAGTTTCGAAGAGTATGAATTTGGGTAACTTATAAAAATTGCATTCATTTACAAAAAAAATATTTTGGGGCCTTTCTGGGCCCTCAAAAAAAAAAAAAAAAAAATTGCGCCAACTTACCCCACCCTGGGGTAAGTTGCTTATACTCAAGGGGTAAGTTGACTCGCAAATAATAAAAGCTAAAGTTAAAGGTCCTATTTAAGTGTATTCCAATAATATTTTAACCCCTCGCCCCTTTTTTTTAAAGGAATCATAGCTGAAATATACTTTTATCAATATCATCAAACTTTTGGATCAAGTCATTGTAACATTTTAAGCAATAAAAAGTAAATATAATTAAAAATACAGTGACAAAACAAAACAGTGTTCCCAATTTATGATTATACAATAAGAGTTAAAACTTATATTGTTTTATTACATGAATATTTTTAACTAATGGAGTTTCAAATCGGCTAGCAGCAATTATTGCAAATGAAAAACAAAGATTTTCCGATTATACATGACTCGTGAGCCCAAAGGTGACATTGGGTGCATTGAACCCAAACTTCCTCTGGTTCACTTTTAGAAATCATTCTAACACAAACCAAACAAAAACACTCCTCTTCAACAGAGCTATTTGAACAATTCAAACTTTTCTCCATTAAGTGTAAACTTCCTTTACTATTTGATCTTTTACTCATCTTAATATTATCTTCATTTAACTTTTTTGCTTGTTTTCTCTCTTCAATTGCTAACTTTTTCTTTTTAGCTGATTCTTTCTCTATTTTTAAAACATTCATGTTTGGTGAATCTGTTAAAAATGATGTGGTTAATACTTCTTTTATTAGCCCTAACTCTTTCTCTTGGTTCAGCTTTTTTGAATGGTCTTAAATCTTCAGGCGATAGAACTACAGTTGACTCTGTAGATGCACTGTGTACATTACTGCTTGAATATGAAATACCTTGATGTGGTTCTATATCTTTTGAGCAACCAGCATTTAACATGTCATTCTCAGATATTGTAAAGTCAACATCCGTTACATTACTTATATTTAGCGCTGTACTTTCCACAGCACAGTCTTGTTTCGGAGGTGGTCTATCTGTGGTATAGGCTGGCATAAAATCGTGTTCACCAAAAATGTCAACATTTAGTGGGTAAATTCCTGTTTTTGCAAAACCAGCCTTGATATTATTAGGGTTACATGCTAATAGAAATGAGTTACCCACAATACCTGGTATACTGTAAATAGACATTGTGGAACCAGGGTGCATTGTCATCCACGCATCGCAAGCTGTGTTTGTGTATTTTTTAAAAGGTCCAAAAACACTTCGATCTAGAGGTTGAAGTTTATGGCTGCAATGAGGAGGAAATGAACAAACCGATACCCCATTTTCTTTAAAGTAATCTAAAGCCTCTACTGAAAGATGAGAGTCATGATTGTCTAATAGCAACAAACAGGTCGTTCTTTTGTACTTCTGGCATATTTGACAAAATGATGGGAAAACTGAAAAAATTGAACTTCAATCATCCAACCAGATGGGTTTGCAGGGCCTGCACTTCCATTAGGAGCACCATTTAAAAAATAGCTTTTAAATTTCACACGAGGAAATATGAAAAATGGAGGAATTAAATTTCCACTGGCAGAAACAGCAACTGCCACAGTTACTAAATTGCCTCTTTCAGTCGAAATAACACGCCCAATATGTTTAAAACCCTTTCTTGCTACAATATAATCTGGAGTTTGAACTGTGGTAATACCAGTTTCATCCATATTCCAAATATCTCCACTTTCCAACTTTAAACGATTAAGAATAGGTTGTAAATTGTTGTAAAACTTTTGAACATTTGTTGGATTAAAACTGGAAACACGTGCTTGACTTGTTGCCTCAGGTTTTCTTATTGACAGTTTTTTGTGCCTTTTGAGGTAAGCACTGAACCAGTCTTCTCCAGCTGCTTCATTTGCACTCCAATTATGAGGCATTTTTATGCTATTCGCTTTTCCATACTGATAAGCTAGTTTCCTCACTTCCTTAGGAGAAAGTCCATAATAAATATCAAAAGCTTTAGTCACATATTGTTCCAACAGACCTTCTTGTAAATCAGTAAAGACCTAAATGAACAATATCAATATTAAAACAAATAACACTACATATAAATGCACACACGTGTGTGTGCATATATATATATATATATATATATATATATATATATATATATATATATATATATATATATATATATATATATATATATATATATATATATATGTATATATATATATATATATATATATGTATATATATATATATATATATATATATATATATATATATATATATATATATATATATATATATATATATATATATATATGTATATATATATATATTCATATATATATATATATATATATGTGTGTGTGTGTGTGTGTGTGTGTGTGTGTGTGTGTGTGTGTGTGTGTGTGTGTGTGTGTGTGTGTGTTAAAGAACATAGCAGTTATGTTTTATAACTCTGTGTGTGTTTGTGAGTGTGTGTCTGTGTGTGTGTTGTGTGTGTGTTGTGTGTGTGTGTCTCTGTGTTTGTCTCTGTGTGTGTGTTTACACACACACAAACACACACACATTACACTATGTGTTAAAGAACATAGCAATTATATTTTATTACTGTGTGTGTGTGTAAACACACACACATTAGTATTAGTATGTGTTATAACACACACACACATATATATATGTGCGTGTGTGTGTAATAACACACATATATATATGTGTGTGTGTATATAACACATACTAATATATATTAGTATGTGTTATACACACACATTGTATTAGTATGTGTTATAACACAAACATATAAGTTATATTTTATAACTGTGTATTAGTATGTGTTATAACACATACTAATACACAGTTATAAAATATAATTTATATGTTTTTTAAGATCATTGAGCACTCTATTTGTAAATAATAACACTAACATAATTTTTATATACAACGTATATAGGTGAGCGAAAGATACTATGACTCAAAATGAGGTTTTGACTTTTTAAAAAAAGAAGACCAGATATATTACTGAATTGGGGAGAAATGTAGGAGAGTGCTTCTACATTGACTTATTTAGGGATAACATGCAAGGGAATGCTGCTACATCGACTGAGGGTTTGGGTTAAGACAGGTACAGATCAATCGATGTAGCACATTTCTCCTCAAATCAGTAATATATCTGGTCTTCGTTTTTAAAAAAAATCTAAACCTCATTTTGAGTCATAGTATCTTTCGCTTACCACGTATATAAAAATTATTTTAGTTTTGACCGGGATTGTCCCGGTTTTATGCCATTTGTCCCAGCGTCCCAACAATTTTCGTTTCGTCCCGTTTTCCGAAAAAATTAATTTTTTGTTTCATTTTATCCCAAACAAAATTCATGATTTTGAATTTTGAAAAAAAAAGCAGACAACGAAAACCATATTGTTTGATACTAATACATTAAAATATATAGCTTATTATATATAGCAATATTAATATTTATAGCTTTAGCAGATTGTTCAATATCTTCTCATTTTAGTTCGTGATCAAATCCAATCTATGCAAATATATATGATCTAATATAGATTGCCAGGAGTATCTGCACTTGTAGAGCGTATTTTTTTTAATCATAAAAATATTTGTTTAGATGACCGAGATCTTTTGAAGGAGTTCATGTGCATTGCTGTACTGCAAGTTGAACTTTAGCTTTTTTATGAAAAAATTTAAAAAATTATAACTTGCTAGAAAAAGTGCATTCTACTGAAAAGTATAACTCGTATAAAAACAGTGAATAGTTTTTTTCTCATATTTCTTTTGTTAGATTTAACAAATAATAAAAAAATATTTTGGTTTTGTTTCTTTGCTTTAGATTGCTCTTCAGCAGCTGAGCAATGGAGCACTTCCTTTTTTATATAAAGACTTTCATGAAACCTTATTACAGGGTGCCATGCTTTTTGAAGCACAAGATAACACTATTTTTCTCCTCCTCCTATCTCTCTGATCATTTATTTCAGCATTTTGCAACAACCTCTCCCCTTCCTCCCCCCTCCTCCACTTACACACATATACCAATATCTTTTTCTATACAACTCCCTCCGTCGCCACAATCCCTGCGTGTCCCGGTTTATAACTTCAAAATCATGGTAAGCCTATATATATATATATATATATATATATATATATATATATATATATATATATATATATATATATATATATATATATATATATATATATATATATATATATATATATATATATATATATATATATATATATACTGACCTGTCTAGATTTTATGTAACCTGATATTTGCTGACCATGACGTTATTGCTTTTTGCAGTTACGAGACAAAATTTTTTCTGGGATATTAAAGTCTTTGGCTGTTTTTCGTAAAGATTTTCCTTCTAATAAAACAACATCAACAGCATTTTTTATAACATTTTGAAGAGTTATAGCCTTCTTTGTTTTTCTTTTATAGTTTCGCATGTAATATATTTGATCTATCTATCTAATTGATTTTGAAAAAAATAAATAAAAAGTTATAAAAAAAGTTGAAATTTATGTCCAATCGCAACCGGGTTTAGTTGATATATACGGCCAACTTGCCCAGCCAAAACTAACCCCGACAGCTATTTGGTCACAAACTCCCCTACCGATCCCTGAAAAACATATATAAATAAAAAATAATGGTTGGACAGATTTTACTGAACCATGCAAGATATAACTCAAATCAAGTTTACGTGTACTTGATGAAATTGCTTTTAAAAATCAAAAAAATAAAGAAGTTGTAAAAGTTACAAAAATGTGGAAAAAACACATAAATCACAATATCTTTTATGCGCATGCGCAAATCCCCACAATACTACAGTGAAAGATGAAATGGTCAACTAAGAAGGTTTCCTGAACTTATTGGCACATTTTGATGAAAAACTTTGCGGATAAACACAATTCGTCAACTTACCCCTGCTGCCAACTAGCCCCGGTCTCCCTTATAAGTAAAACTGAATACATTTATAAAAATATTTTGTTTTAATTTTTCCATCATTTTAAGTCAGTTTATTGTTTATGTTTAAAAAAACTTTTTTTATTTTAATTTGGTCACAAAATATTGTCTAATTAAAGCAATTGAATTAGCATTAAAATTAAATATTGAAAAAATATGCATTCCACCTCATTGTAAACATTATTTTTTATATTAGTATTCTATTTCAACTTAGGGTAAACTCGTTTGCAATCATTCAATACAAATATTAATACATTAGAAGGGTAACTGTGGCAAAATGGGGTACTCAAGGAAAAAGTCCTTTCAGAGTAACAAAAATTATCAAAATCACAACAACTCTGCTTAAATAAAAAAATGAAACATTGTCTAATTTTCAACAAAACAAGAACACCATGAAATGTAAATTTTTTGATTTATTAAACTTTAAAAAAAAATTTTAAACACAAATTTTAATTTTGCTCCATGCTTGGGACGAAACTAGATTTGGAACGGGACTAAATAGATCGAAGGAAGAACTCATATAAAAATAAAATGACTATTTATAGCTCATACACAAAGATTGAATTATTATTTTTGTTTTTAATTCCGGCTCAGAAATAGTGAGTCTATCTATAACACTCACTCCAACAAACCTACTTTTTAGTTCTTGAGGAATCGAGCTCAGGGTTGTGTCTTGATTTTTTTGAATATTTACACTGTTTGGCTTTTTTTGGCTGTAGTTATACTTTTTTATTGTTTAGATACGTTGTATTTTTTTTTAATTGATCTCCATTACTATCTTTTGGTATTATTTGGTACTTATGGTATTAAATGGGTGTTTTTCAACAAAAAATTAAAGCCTAAAATAAAAATAAAATGATCGATGAAGAGGGGCAGCACCAAGATTCTCGGTTCTGACAGTCTTGTGCTGCATACAAAACAGCTATAGTTGGATAAATAAGTTTTAGGAGCATTTGACATTTTGCGCATCAATAGTTTTGCGGGAGAGCCTTCCAGTGACGTACAATTAGATTTGTAAAAAAATGTTCTCTTTCAATACAACGATTTACTCTTTATTTATCAAGGCACTTACTGTGACTTCGAAGATTGTAATTCAGTCTACAGGGAGGGCATTAAATTTTTATTAAAAAAGAGGATATTAGAGGATTTTAGAGGAGATGACCAGGCTTGTATTGTGAACTCGTGATGCGGGCGAATATAAGCTATATACAATGTTCTCCAAACAACAATACTTCGACTGCGGAATGCTTTTTTCAGCCTACCAAGTATTTAATTGGCCGTTAAGACTGCTGTCTCAACTTGATTTTTTAGTTAGTTAATTAGTTACAATCAATTTCATGGCCAGAAAATAGCTTTACTTTTTACTGCAAGAAAATAATAAAAAATAAAATAAATTTTATAAATAAACGATTAAAAATTATAAATGGATATGATGATAATTTCTGAATTAATCGAAAAACAGAAGAATTATATTCTAGAAGAAACAAGAAAGCTATTAAAAGATCATGAAAAAGTATTCACGTCAATAACAGCAGCAAATATGAAAATACTTACTGAGCAATTAGAAAAGAATGAAAAAGTCGGAAGCAAAAACTTAACTAAAATCAATAACATTGTAATTGATTTAGAAACAACAAATAAAAATGCTATGTCTTTAGCAGCTGATTGCAGCGATATTATCAAAGCTATTCAAATTAACGAAAAGATTATTACCGATAAATTTGAAGTTGTAAAGAAAAAGAAAAAAGAGTTAAGCAATAAAATGAAAGACAATAGCAAAATACTTAAAATTAAAAGTAAACTTAGAGAAATTGAAGATTCCTCACGAAGGAGCAACCTAAGAATAGAAGGCATAAAAGAAAACGGAAATGAAAATTTGAGTGTCAATGAATCCAAGGTGCAGAAGCTCTTTGAAGATATACTTGGTTTAAAAAATATAAAAATGGAGAGGGCTTACAGGATTGGACTTAGAAGCACACATAAAATTCGACCAATCGTTGTCAAGATAATTAACTATAAAGACAAAGTAGACATTTTAAAACAGGCAAAAAATTTAATTTTGCGTTGAAACTACAATTGTAAAAAAACAGTTTCGAGAACAACTGAAAAAAGAACGAGAAAAATACGCAGTAATACTGTACGTTAAACTAATCGTTCGCAACTAGGCTCCCAAAGAAAAGTAAAAAGTTAATGTTCTTATTTTATTTTTATTGCTTAAATTCTTATTTTAAAAATGGAAACAAACTTATTATCTAATTTTAATGCTAAAAATAACATATCCAATGATAATGACATTTTAAAGCTTTTCTAATAAACAAAAATATACTTTTAGAAAAAAAATTCTGAATCAAATATTAGCTTTTATAAAGATTGGGAAAGGATGGAAAATATAAACTCTTATTATTACAGTTCAAACGTTTCAACAATAACTGCTAACATAGATGATAATGTACTATCCATACTGCATCTAAATATAAGGAGTATATAAAAAATTTTTAATAAACTTAAGGAATTTTTATTTAGAGTCAAAATAAATTTTTAAATTATATGCCTAACAGAAACATGGTGCCGGAATATACAAATTGAAAATAACTATAACTTTCAAATTATTAGTTATAAAGTTGTTCATCAAATAAGAGAATCTGAAAAAGTAGGAGGAGGAGTGTGTATTTTCATATATGAAAATACACACTCCTCCTCCTCCTGCTTTTTCAGATCTTCTTATTTGTTTATAGGTACTGTTTATAGGTCAATGAAAGTTGGGCACTTTATGCCCTACTTTCATTGACCACCCAAGTAGCAAACAATATTGGCGTAATATTGGCACGATATTGGGTATCTTGGCTAATCTTGGCCAAGATATCCGATATTGCGCCAATATTGTCAAGCAATATTACGCCAATATGGTCTTACCAATATTGGCAAACAATATTGCGCCAATATTATCCATTATCGTTTTACTGATATTGTTGTGCCAATATTGGCGAAATATTGTTTGCCAATGCCAATATTGGCTTTATGTTAAATTTTACATATTGGTACGCATGCGTAACATTAAGGAATATTCATAAACAGTTTTGTTAAATGTGTTTAAATGTAAATAATAGCATCTTTTTACATAAACAGGCATCCTTATGTTAATTTTTTTACAAAAACAAATAAGAGTTTAAAATAAAAATTTTAATTTATGAAAAGAGAAGAAGTAGGAAAAGTATTTATAATTCAACATTTACAGAGTAAATCAGGAGAAGAAGTAATGGTAATTTATTTTGAAACAGATAGTATCACGAGAAGAAGTGGTAAGAGTAGGTACGTGAGCATCGCGTTTTACGGAACCGAATTTTGTGGTAAAATTCTGTTCCACGTTTTTCGTAGTCTCTTAAAAGTTAGAGTGCTTGAGGAAGGTTTTGTGGAATAACTTTTTAGTATTCGTTATCAACATAGATTATTTTTAGAAAGAAGAATAGTTGAAGCATTAGTTCGATTGGTTTTTAATTATACTCACTTAATTTATTAACGAGTTTATTGATGTCAAAATTTTGGTTGTACTTCTGTGGTGAATTTAATGTCCAGGATATAGTCTTTTTTTTTTTCTATCCATTTTTTTTATTAAATTTATTCATTTATCTATGCACCTGCCAATTTTCGTTGAAAAATATTTTGTAGCAGTCACCTTATTTCTTGCTGCACTTTTGTTACCTAATTTACATTTTACCTGATGTTGGCGCGGGAGACAGAGGGGTCCATTGATTGTTTTTATTTATATTTATTTTACATATATAGTATTCATATTAGCAATATTTGACTTATGTCATAAATTGGTATTGTAAACCTAGATATTTTAGAATAAAAATATAGTTAAAAAATTTGTTCATTTAAATAAAATTACTTTAATAAAACGATTTTTAGTAAATATTAAAGTAAGACTTGGATTTTATATTTGATTTAGAAATAAAATGGATGAAGAAAATAAAGGTTTCATCTAGTATTTCATATCATATTCATAATAAGAATTTGATGTGAATTAAATTATTGATGATTCATATCTAAATTGAAGATTGAACGTTGTTTTTATTTAATAAGAAATATCTTTATGGATAAGTTGTTTCGATATAAATTTATTAAACTGTTTTTAAATTATCTGGCCACTATTTAAATCTTTATCTATAACTTAAATATTTCTTTCACTGTTTTAGATGCCTAAAGTTGTAGTGCAGCCGACAACAATGTTGTCGGCTGCACTACAACTTTGGGGATCTAAAACAGTGAAAGAAATATTTTTTTATAACTTACTGATGTTGTCAACATCAGTTAGTTACTTTCTGTATTCAATAGCTTTGTAGTTATTAAATAGATGATATTATAATATATGTTCTATATATATATATATATATATATATATACATATATATATATATATATATATATATATATATATATATATATATATATATATATATATATATATATATATATATATATATATATATATATATATATATATATATATATATACATATACATATATAAATGATATTAGTTTTCTAATACAGTTCTTTATTATGCCTGTGTAGATTGTTGTCTAACAATATTATTTCTTGTTAGTTGTATTTTTGTATACTTAATACTTACATTTTTTTAAGTCACTCTTTTTTTTCTGTAGACAATTTAGAACAAACAATCAGAAGTTAAGTTTGAATTGTTTTAGTTACTATATCATTTAAAGTATTTGTATGCTGTGTTAGTATTCCTTGTGGAATAAATGTTTTGATTTAAAAAAATTTTTTAAAAGATTTAAGTTTAAGAAAAAAGATTGTTAAATGGTCAATTAATGTAGCACATAAAAACAGATTTACAAACCAACTGCATCGATGCAAAGTGAGAGATGAGATTTGCCAAAGACAAAAAATCAAGCGCCATAAAATGAATGAAAAAGAAAAAAGAAAGTTAGAGCGTGAGCTATCCAAATTGAGTTTTAACGAAATTATTAATTCATGCAAGCGCTTGTCCAATGACCAACTATTTGATTTAGAAGATGTCATGTCAGATAGAATTGTTTGGAAGAAACTAGAACATGAATGGTACGATCCAAAAACATGCAAAAGTGTTTTATATAGCGAAAGAGTAGAAAAAGTTAATAAAAGAAAAAATAACTTTATTTACACCATTTCTTACTAGAAAGATGATGAAACTGATATTGGAGCTGTTGACTATTACATGAAAAAGATCCAGCTTGCTGCTGATGTTGTTTCCAGTGAGTTACAATTTAATTAATTTAATAACACTGCAAGTGTTGTGACTTGTCAAAAATATGTTGCAAGTGTTGTGACTTTCATAAATAATGTTTATTTTGAAACAGGAAATTTGTTTATTAACCGAAGAAAATGGTTAGCTTGTTAGCCATACTGTATGGTTCTGTTAATGTGAGAATCACATGAAAGACAATAATATTGGTATTTGCTATACTTGGTTATAAAGATGACATGTTTTTTAAAGCCAATTGACTTAATTATAGCCCCACAATAGTAGTTGTATAATTTTTTTAGTAATATATAACCAATTAAATAATAATATTAGGTTAGAGGGGGAAGGGGCATTACAATGCCTCTTTCCCCTTTAAAACATCATCAACATATCTACTATGAGTTTTACATTCATCTTCCATATTTGATGGTTGTCTGATATGAATTTATTTTTTAATTTATTTCCAATTTCATTTTTAAATTTATTATTCAAATTTTGAAAACAGTAAATGTATATATTTTTTTAGGATGGGTGGGTGGGGGGGGCATACGCCCTTCCGTAATAGAAACACCAGTTGTAGACGTAAGATCATGTAAAACATAATTTTATATTGTATACTAATTTTACACATTTCAGTAAAGATATAAATATAAAATCAAGTCGTTTTTGATACTAGAGTGTATCAAACCACCACCACCACACCCACCTCTATTGCTAACATACACATCTTATGTATTTTAATGGTTAAGTATAAATTTAAAACAATTTGTTTTAATATTTATATTGCTTATGTCTTTAAAAAAAACTTTTTTTCTGAAAAAAGTGTTCAGTTTCGTACGGGCATGGTGGTGGTTTGGTACCCCCTCTGTCCGTCCGAAATGCCCGGTGGTTAGAGTTTAACATAAAGTTGTAGCCCACTCTTACACCTATCTTTTGACACTAAGATATTTGTTTTTCGATAAGAATTGACAAAGTTATGACAATTTAAGTAAAGAAAAATATTATTTTGACCACAGTTTCTTCAACAAATCCTAATATCGAAAAATCGGTACTTAAACCGTCATAACTTTTGAACCAATTGTTCGATTTTGATAATTTTAATTTAATTTTAATTTAATTCACCTTTAAAATACTGTAATAATCCTCTTTCTAATGATATATAACATTATAGTATTCAAACAATTTGAAATTTTTACTCACGTACCTAGTAAGAGTAATAAAATTATTTTATTCAACATTACGAATTGAATTACGAGAAGAAGTCGTTGTAATTAATTTAAAACATATTGCATCACGAGAAGAATAGAAAAAATATTGCTATACTTAAGTATCAAGATTAAAATAGTAAGTTTATTCTTAAATGAAAACACTTTGAGAAGATTTCATATATAAAATATAAGTTTCATAATCTATTTATTTTGTTAAAGATATTTGTTTAAGAAATAAATGCGTCATTATTATTGTTTCTAACTGTTATAAGATTTTAGTTTACGAAAAAAATACCCCTGCTTGACACATAACAACATCAAAAAAAAAAAAAAAAAAAAAAAAATATATATATATATATATATATATATATATATATATATATATATATATATATATATATATATATATATATATAGATAGATATATATATAGGTCTATATATATATATATATATATATATATATATATATATATATATATATATATATATATATATATATATATATATATATATATTATATATATATATATATATATATATATATATATATATATATATATATGTATATATAGACCTTCACACACACATATGCACACACACACACACACGCACTTAAATTTATTACAAGGTAATAATTTTGCAATAAAAAAGTTTTTTTTATAATGTCTTTTATTTTATATAGCATTTTATTTAATGCAATAGTTTAATGCAATGTTATAGGTAATAAACAAATCAATAAGTTAAACTAGATCTGCTACATCACGTTATGTTAAGAGTAGTTAAACAAGTAAAATTCACACAATAAGTAATGCTGAAAATAGTAAAAATTATATAAATGCAACTTTGAAAATGCAATAAACTTTAGTGAGGATTGATGTTGGACATTAGCCTTGGAGAATAAAACGGAAATAGAAAATTTATATCAGATATATTGAAATCTTTCAACACATTTCACAACACTTACTTCTAAAATTAAAATCTTATAGAATAAATGACTAACTCTACAATTGGATTTTAATGCTACCTAAGAGATCGGCATTAGAGTATCATTGTTGGTGGTACATACTCAGAATGGATAATAGTAAATAGTGGGGTCCCCCATTATTTACTTTTATGATATATAATAAAGATTTTTCTGATTCGGTTTTAGATGTTATACCTGTATTTACAGATGAAACTAAGTTATACAGTTTGCTTTTTGATAGCTCACCATGCAATAACCTGCAATAAAGTATGGAAATTATAGCAAACTAGGCAAAACTATGAAAACTAAGTTTTAATGTAAAAAAATTTAAAGTTATACCCTTAGGACCAACAAATACAAAATTTTCCCTTAAGACCAACAATGCCCATAGGACCAACAAATACAAAATTCATTTATATACTCGTTGATAAAAATCTCAATACTTCAATTAATATTAAAAACTCTCTCGTCAATAAAGGGATTTTCAAAGTAATTTGACTTTTATTTTGTAAGTACTAAGAATAACACTGCCAATAAAGTTGTAGGAATGATCAAAAGATCATTTGTCAATCTCAATATCTTGACATTTCGTACTTTGTTTATTTTCCTTGTTCGGCCTCACCTTGATTCTTGCAGCTCTGTCTACTATCCTAGACTTTAAAAAGATCAACAATTAATTTCAAATGTTCTATGCTAATCTAGTAAATTTTTTTTTGGCCAGACTGGACTTTACAACCAAAGACTACTGAGACTAAATTTAACTAGCATGAGCTATCGTTTCTTATGTAATGACGTGGCAGAAACTTACAAATGCATTCACAATCTTTATAATTGTAGTTGCAACTCTTTTGTTTCCTCATAAAATACCATTCAGTATTTTATCTATCAACACCTGTGTCAGAATGATGTCATCTGCACAGCCAATATATTTATTATTGTAATTACAAACCATTAAGTAGTTAATCTGAGTTGTAATAGCATGCGTGTTAATATGGCCACTTCTTAATATTAATACATGATTATATATTTAGTTAGTATTTATTCCTCCATTATGACTAACTCCAACTTTACAACATGCGATCATGCTTATAAATTGAAAAAAATGTTTTGTAAGACAGATGTCCAGAAAAAACTTTTCTATTATGGAATTCACAAGTTTGTAGAATAGTCTACCATCTGAAATAGTGTTCAACATCTGTCACGACATTAAAAAAACATCTAGATGCATCTTGGGTTCATCAAATGTACTATTGCAAATATTTACAATGGTAAATATTTACTTAGAGCCTCAAGTTGTTTATCTTCCTTAATGTCATATTTAAATAAGAAAACATTATCATAGAAACCTTTCCAAACTGCGCAAACTTTAAAATTCACTTTTTTTTACTAACCAATAATTAAACTCTACTTGCAATAAAAAGCGATTACATTAAACATTAAGAAATGAATCTCAATAATTTTTAGACTAATGTTTTCAGTTAAAAAATAATAATAATCTCAAAAAAGAAAGTTAATCTGAAGTTTTTTTATATCATAAATTTATTTCTGATTATTTTTTAGCTGATGTACCGTTAAAATGAAGGTGGTAATAAAGTTTACAAAATTTGCTCTGGCTGAATTTTTCAATGAAAAAACAATATGTGTGCCATGAATGTAATCTATTTTTCATGGCGTATCAATGAAAGTTTGGTGTATTGGCCAAATCACTTGCAAGCATCTTGCCTTTAAGCTGCCATATGTAAAGTCATGCTTTTAAAAGTAACTGAAAGCAACTGAAAATAATAATTTTTTGGTAATTGTCTTATTTACAATATTGTTTTTGTTTTGTTTACAGTATTATTTTTTTTTTTTATCTAAACAGCTATGTTTGACTCATATATAGTAAATGTTGATTGTTTAGTATGGTTTCATCTCTTCTTTATACTATTTTTTGATAGTTATGAGACTGCTTTAGAATGGAATTATCTGTGCCTCCAGCTTAAAAGGATGCAGGTTACAAAAAAAGTGACACTGATGAGATTGTCTCTCAGTTTCTCAAAGATTGAAGAAATCTTTAGTGTTTTAGGGTTAAGTGATTCCAAAAGAGCTTTGCTTGACTATCTTATTCGATTTATTGAATTTATTTGCCGGTTATAGATGAAAAAAGATCTTCTAAACCTAGAAGAAAAATTATGGAACAAAGACACCTTATGAATAGTTTTTGGAAACAGTACCATGTACTATTAAAGTTTCTAATTTTTAAAATATATGATACATTTATATGAAACATACAAACAAATGATACAATATGATACGTGATTGACTATAATTATGTTGTATATCAGAATGTTTTATATAAATGCTTATTACATTTTATTGTGTTTTTTATCTTTTATGCCCAGTTAGTAATGTATTTTGTGTAGCAATGACTAATAATCTCAGATATCTATGACATCTGTAGGGTGTATTCACCGCTACAGATGTCATAATCTATTTATAACCAATTGCTTTTACTCTTCCATAATGTCATATTTTAATAAGAATCACATTATGGAAAACCGTCTAATACATACACATGAGGAACCATTATACTTTTACAACCAATTATATTACATTTGTTTTCTTATTTTAGATGAACTTTCTTACTTCGGTTGGAGGAGATGAGAAACAACTTACAGCGACAATCTTAATACAGTTAATGGCCAAAGAAGTATGTTTTTCATACTCAGTGTATGGAAGGAACCAAAAACGTCCTGCAAGGTCGTTATAGGTAAAGCACAATATTTGTATTCAACATCCCATTTCCTTTTAATAAATAAATATTTTAATAAAAGCTAATTATTTTACAATATTTATACGTAAAAAAATTATATATTTCAAAATTATATTGTGATGACATTGAAAAAACATTTTTTAGATTTGCGTTTAGTCATTTATCGTTGTATTCGTTTCTTTCGAAATTGCTACTGACAAAAGTAGTAAAGAAAAAATTGGCAGCTTTCTGGCGAGGGCCATTAATAGAGATTACGGAAGAAAAATAGAACCGTAACTGAGCAACACCCAATATTGAGCAATGAAATAAGTATCGCCAAAATAATGAAAGTCGATGCCCACTATCTCATAGTGAGAGTATAATACAGTAGTTTATAGATATATATTTATATATACATATTTTTTGTACCTGTATTTAAATAGCATTGATTTTATTTTGTTATATTTTGGTTTTGGAAAACTCTATACCTCTTCTTTTCATTTGTATCTGTTTCATATCACTTCAAATAAATTTAATTTTTCTTAAAGCGTGTTCTATGATTATTGTCACTTCCTAGACTATAACCTGTTTAACTCAAAAGAATAATGCAGTCTAGTACTATAGTATCACTTAAACAAGAAAACTGTTAGTAATTTTAGTTATTACAAATTTGTAGAAGGCAATATTTTTTATTAATAAATATTTAATCGAAAATACTCAATATATTGCCTTAATTTAGTTATATATATTATATATATCAGGATAATATTGTAAACTATATTAGGCCAATATTGGCCAGTATAATATCCCCATTATTGGCGCGATATTATTTACAATATTAGCGCAATATTAAAACTATATCGGGCCAATGTTGCAGTGTGAACATTTTGCCAATATTGACCAATATTGACTTTACAGTATTGGTGCAATATTGTATAGCCAACATTGGCCAGTATCGACTTTAAAATATTGGCGCAATATTGTAGCGCCAATATTGGAAAAATATTCACACTGCAACATTGGCCCGATCTAGTTTACAATATTGCGCCAATATTGTAAACAATATCGCCCCAATATTGCGCCAATATTGTTTGCTACTAGGGCACTTTCTTGTTTTTTTATAAGAGTGACTAGTACACTTGGAATCTACATAATAAGCAAGTGCCTCATCGCTACTCAACTACCTGCTACCACAAATAACATCAGTAGATTTTCTTTGATCTAAGGTTTCTGTATTTTTTCTAATAGAAATAGCTACATTTCTTTGACCCGACAAACGATGTGCTATTTCAGCAACTTATAACTACTTATAACTTAGAGTTCAATTCAGTAGAAAGACATTTTTTTGAGAAACACAACACTATCATTAACTCATATTTTTCAGAAAATGGAGATAGAACAAGCTAATTCTAACGTCGCGAATTGTCAAAAAAGTTTTTTTGACAATTGGTGACAAAACCCCTTTAGAAGCCTTATTGTTGTAGGTATGATATATAAAAAAATTATCCTGTATAGATTTGGATAAAATTAGTTACACGCTTTTAAAATTAAAAACGAAAAAAAAATTGCAATTTTAACATTAATATCATTTATGCCAATTAATTAAAATAAGTTTTCAATAAAATACAAAGTATGTACCTTCTAAAGTAAAATTCATCACAGCAGAATTAATTATTATTCACAATAAATTAGTTATAGGTGATTGTTTATTTTTGTCCAACTAGATTGTATGAGTCGATTCACTGCACCATGTTTTTTTTTTAGAAATCTAAATAAAGAGACTTTTTAAAACAACTTTATAGCAGTCGTGGTGTAGTGGTTGGAGTTCTGGCTTCAGAACTAGAGGTCCGTTTTGTATTTGCATGACCTTAGACAAGTGGGAGCTTGGGAGATCCCCACTTTTCTTTCTAATTAAATATATTTATAAACAATTTGAAAACTTATAAAAATTTAGTTATTTGAGCCGGTGAAGGAGGTATGAAGTACTTAACCGGTACGGATCACTGTACAGTAATTCCTACCTGACGGTACCGATCACTTGAAAAGTGATTCCTACCTAGGTGCTAAACACTGTACCTGGGTACCGAACACTTAACATTTTAATTTTGCCGTGTAAACGTTTTAAAAAGAGGTAAGAAGCATGGAAAATAATACAAAAAACGTTTGTTCACTATTGTAAACATACTGCTATAGCAGTATAGTATTGGTTTAAACAAAATTTCAAAATCAAACGTTTAAAATTTAATATTTATCTTTTCTTTTTTGTGTTTTAACTTTTTTAGATCAAATTAAGATTATTATTATTATTATTATTATTATTAGCAAAATTTATTATATAGTAAATTATTATATAACAGTTGTTAACAAGACCAATAATTGGCCTTGTTAACAACTGTTATATAATAATTTACTATATAATAAATTTTGCTAATAATAATAATAATAATCTTAATTTGATCTAAAAAAGTTACAACACAAAAAAGAATATGGCCTATATATATATATATATATATATATATATATATATATATATATATATATATATATATATATATATATATATATATATATATATATATATATATATATATATATATATATATATATATATATATATATATATATATATATATATATATATATATATATATATGTATATATATATATATATATATATATATATATATATATATATATATATATATATATATATATATATATATGTTTTATAAGATGGTTTGTTATTTTAAGTCAACTCTAGTGACTTAGTGGTTTTGATGTTTTAAACGCACAAGTCAGACAACTTGTGTTTTCAAAACAAGCTTAACGTCGCGTGAAAAACTTCCAGCATCTAGCCAAAACCAAAATGTTTATAAGCATCTGATGCTTCGTAATTACCTATAGCCTCAAAAGAAAAAATTATGGGACTTTTTATTAAATAATTATAAACGTCATGGTATTGAACTCATGGCCATTCAGCTTGATCATCTTTCCAAGTATTTGCAATGAGTTTGTATACAAATCGGTTGATTCTGCGGCGTTAAAATCTAATTTTTCAAAGTATTCGTAAACCGATATTTCTTTTTTTAAACCCTTTAAATCACTTTTCCGCACAAATACACCCGCTTCATTAACTCAACTAATCGTTTGTTTTCCCCCATCCAAGATGGTAACAACTTGCGCTATTGTTATTTTGTATAACCACGTGACTTTCCGACTGCGAGGATACCACAACAACAACAACAAAAAGCAATATATTTACCAGAAATATAGATGTTTTACATAAGAATGTTATAAATTATAAAAAATATATATATAGTCTACATTCTGGATGGTTCACTCTCATATAGCTAGGCTAAACCGAGGAGAGCGACCATATTACACAAGTTACAGACCAAAGCCAAAAGTTGCAAGGCCAAGAGTTTTAAGGTCAAGGCCAAGTCTTGGCCTTGACCTTAAGGTCAAGTCTTGGCCCAAGATTTAGAGTTTCAAGGCAAAGACGGAGGCAAAGACTTATTTAGCTAATATTGTTTACATGCATTTTATTATAAATTTATGATAATTATATTTTATGCTATAGGTGCTCTGGGCATATGATGAATGCACTAATAGCACATAATATTAGCCTATAGCACTGCTATAAACACTTTTTTTATTATTTTAGATATTTTAGTATAAAATGGCAGACAAAAGTTCATCAGAGATAGACAAATCAAGATCATTAAAGAACCAAACTTTTATGATATTGAAAATTATTTATTATCAGGAATTTTTCCTGAACATTTACAAGGAAGAGAAAACATAGGTATTAAAACAAACTTTAAAAAACAAAGTGACAGGTTTGTAATTGTTAATGGTATGCTACATTACAATTATAGAAAAATCATAAGTTACTTCTGGTCCAAAAAAGCTGCACACGATGGATTTGGTACATCAACTGAATCAAAGGCTATAGGTGGACATTTTGGCAGAGATAAAACAATATGGAAATTGAATGATTCAGGATATTGGTGTCCGAATATGAATAAAGATGTCTGAAATGATGTTGCCACTTGTGAATCTTGTCAAAAATCAAATTCAAAAATGAAAAAAGTTTCTCCAGAGTTGCATCCAATACCAGTTCCAACAAAAATATGGCATCAAGTTGGTGTTGACCTCTGTAGTCTTCCTAAAAATCCAGAAGGTTATGCTGGAATTTGTGTAGTTGTTGATTACTTTTCAAAATGGATTGAAGCAAAGCCTATTTATAATAAAAGTGCTGAAGAAGTATCCAGATTTCTTTATGAACTTGTATGTCGACATAGTTGTGCCTCAATTCAATTTAATGATCAAGGTCGAGAATTTTGTAAAGTTTCTGAAAATTTGCTAAATCTTACTGGAACCTGTCAACGTATTACTTCGGCTAACCATTCTCAAGCGAATGGTCTGGTTGAACGAGCTGATAGAACTATACAGGGTTCTATGTTTAAAGTGCTAAACGGAGAGCAAGAAAAATGGCCTCATTCATTAGATGGCATACTGTTTGCATTTCGAACAACTCGCCACAAGTCAACCGGTGTCACTCTCTTTCAAATTATGTATGCAAGGGAGCCAGTTTTACCCTTACATTGCATAAATAATGATCAAAGCTTAATTCATGATGTACTTGTTGATTTAGACATAGAAGAAGGTATTTATTTTAATAGACGAATGAAATAAATTTATTGAACTTTATTTTATACATTTAGTTATTTGTTTTAAGGTATTTTGGAACAGGCTGTTTTGCTCGAAAACTTAAAAGGAATTAAAAACACTCAAAGTATAATTCATGATGAAGTAGAAAAAAAAATAAAGAAATCTCAATTGCGATAAAAGAAGGACTATGAGAAACGTCACAAAAACCAAATCCAATTCAATATAGGAGATGAAGTTTTTGCTTGTAATCTTAGAAGAGCTGATAGAAAAGGTGATAAAGGGAAATTTGTTTGGGATTGACCGTACGAAGTTATTGAAACATTTATTGATAAAGGACTTTATCAGCTAAAACAAAAAAATGATGAAACTCTTCATACCAAGCATCATGGTTCAAACATGAAACTTTCAAAGAAAAGATCTGAAGATGAAATACTTCAAAAATCATGTGATGAGGTATCTGATATTAAATCTGAATCTTTAGAATTTGTTGTAGTTGTTATCAGCAAAACAAACTCTTTTATACCTACTAATAGTAAATGGAGAACAAAGAAATGCTCCATGTTGAAGATTATTTTAACTAATAAAACACCTTTTAAAAAAGGTTTTTCTATACGGAAAAAAACCGATTAGTGTTGATAAATTTGAAGTTGATGGAAATTGCTTATTTCGAGCTTTAAGTCAGGAAGTTTGTTTAAGTCAAGAGTTTTATAAAAAATACTGCGTCAACTTTTTAATTGCAATTGATACTCTTTTAAAAGCGGAATATAGAAATGCTTTTGATGCTTATATATCAAAATCAGTTTTAAAATACATTAGTGATTCAAAAATGGAGACTGACCAAATATGGGGCACTGATGTCGAAATATAT